CAGAGAAGGCAAATAGTGAATCTGTGACATCTTACTACACTGATGGACAATGACTGCAATGGGGTATGGGTGGGGATTTGATAATAGGGGTAAATGTAATTACCACATTGTTTTTTCATGTGAAACTTCGTAAGAGTGTATATCAATAATGCCTTAATTTTTCTTAATTAAAAAAATACATAATAATACAAAATTTCTTAAACTGACAACTGGAGACATTGTAACAGATTGAGACAAAGATAAAACAATCTCGATGAGATAAATGAAATCTAAATTCACTCTGTGAACTGTAGGTTCTAAAAATTGTAGTGAATCAGTTACCCCAGGGAAGCACAGTGGCTCTGGCGGTGGAGATCGCCTTGGCTCGCCTCTAGAGGGCGAGGTGGAGCAACGTTCTCACAGCCAGGGAACTCCACTGACATTCCAGCAGCCCTGCTGTTAAGACTGCCCGCCGGTGGGCCAGCGGGAAAATGCCAGTTCCAAGTTCTGAAAAAGCACCTCTACAATGACCAGGAAAGTGATCCAATATTCAATTTGAGGCAATCTGGGCTTAGTCTGAACATGCTGCATGTATCTGTTAGGCAGTCTTTTGATGCATTTTTTTACTTTCACTAGAGTCTTTGATAAGTGGTAGGAGCCAGAAAGATAAAAACTACAATTGCTGCACAAGAATCTGAACTACTGGTGGCTCAGTGAAGTCCAAGAGGAAGAGAATTGCAGGTGACTCTTCCAGTGGAAACTACTACTGCAGCATAAAGCTAATGCCTCAGGGAGCTGCCACTTCCATCACCCTTGACAACCAGCCCTTTTCTGGTGCAGCCTTTGGGAATATAATTCTTGATTTGGGCCAGCCTGGGGAAGGAGGGATTGGTTACCTCAAATCAACCTCCTTCTAGAAAGATCAAAGGAAATGGGGCAATTTTAGAACTCATTGCAGATTTTAGCTGCCTGCTGAAAGGATATACTTGCATTTTCCACACCTGAACTAAATTGCAGATGACCTAGTTCATAGCTTTTATTTTTAGCACTTACTTCATGTCAGGCACTCTTCTAAATACTTCATGTGTATGACTCTCAATCTTTGCCATCACCCTTCTAGAACAGTACTGTTATTTTATAAGTGAAGAATTTATGGAAGAGAGAAGTCAACAGACTTTCCTTAGATCATACATCTAACTTAGAACTAAGCCAAGATTCAATCCAGGGAGTCTGGTGCTGGCATCTATGATTTTAATGGCTAAGCTTTCTGCTTTTGCAAATCTTCAAGTGGTTTGCAAAGCTGTCACCTAGACTCTGCATGTAGTTTGATGGGCCTAATGCAATGGCTTCTTAGCAGTGAACAGCTGTATGAAAATCTGTCTTCTTGGCAGCAAAAAGCTGCCCAGGCAAGAAATTGGGAGACATTATGGCTTACCTCTCTTCCTTACTTCATATATCCAGTCATTCACCAAGCCCTGTTGAGTCCATCCCTGATGCCTGTCCATTTCTCTTCATCCCCATAGCTTTCACTATATAGTCCAGGCCACCATTCACTTACTCTTGGTTTAGAGTATCTTGTAAGGACCAGCTGAATATCATTGCCTCCATGGTGTCTTTGGGGCATAACTCCTTACGTCTCCATTACTGTCCCTTTACTTTGCCTCAGAGTGCCTCCAACATTCTGAACTGACTCCAGTTCTCCCTCACCTTTTCTGTTCACACTGCTTGGAATATCCTTCTCCTTGCCACCCCTCTTTCTTCCCACTAGTTCCAACTAATTGGAATTCTTACTAATTTCTATCATCCTTCAGGCCTCATTGATCATTTACTTCCTCTGAAGAGCTTTCCTGGAATTCCCAGGCCTTGACCATGTTGCCCCTAACTTTGGAATCCCACAGCACACCATATGTCCCCACCGTAGCAGCTGCCAGCTTGTATTGCAGTTATGCTTACCATGTGTTGGAGAAGAGAAACAAACTACAGTGACAACAAACTCCAAAACTACAGGTTATTCATTTCTCCTTGACAGAGTCTTCTGGAAATAGACAGTGGGAGGCCAAGCCAATTGGTGGGTGCTCTGTTCCAAACAGTCATTCAAGAACCAGGCTGCCAGCAGTTCTGTCACCTTTCAGTTGTGATTTCTAAGTCCGCCTGCATCATAATATCTGAATAGTACGTGAGGAAAGATCATGGAGGATCATGTGGGAGGTTTTATAGGCCAGGCCTTGAAATGGCAACCATCACACCCACTCACATTCCATTAGCTAGGCCTCAGTACTAACCACACCGGAGGCTAGTAAATGTAGTTTGTGCATAAAGAAGAGTGGGGTTGGTGGTCAGCCTGTACTCCCACAATGACCTTTATTCTCATGAAATTGTGAGGGCAAAGGCAAAATTTCTTTCTCTTCACTTCATGCCCAATTCTAGCACACATTGAGCACTTCATAAGTATTTGTTGAAAAAATGAAGCTGTGCATATCCAGTCCTTAAAGCTTTTTCCTGCCCCCTTATGCAGGCTGCTGGCTGCCCATTAGTTCCTCATGCACCATTGTCTGAGGCAGCCTCTTACAGATATTCCCATGTCTGACTGTGTTTATGGAGCAGAGTTTGTAGTATGTCTTTGGTGTTCATTGCTGGGCTGCATTCTGAAATTACCATGACTGACTGTACATGAACTACCTACAAGTGTATAAACTGCAAAGCCAATTATTTATGTATCCTACATATTTTTCCTCAGAAATTAGGTCATCCATGTTTTCTATTTAATATATGCCCTCTCCCAGAACTGACGAAGCTGGAAAGCTGGGATGCCATTCATTCCTAACTGCAGCTTGACAGTGACTGAGCATATTGACTTCCATACTGTAAGGATGCCCCTGAGAATATTGTCCACATTATGCAATATTCTCTGTATAGAGATCAGAGAGTAATTTACATTTAATCACAACAAAAAGAACAGCTGTGTTTCTCTTGAAAATTAACTTTTTTATGCTATGATGGCCATCAATGGGCAAAACACATAATCTTGATTTCTTTACATCATCATTAAAAAGTTCTGACCAAATGTGGGGCCCCTATTAAGAGGACATGACATCAAGAAATATCCTGTCCCCATTCAGGCATCAACAGGAGTCAAAATGCTTTTTGTAATCCTATTTTCCTTGCCCTTATTTTCCCTTTCTGTCCACTTCTTTCACCTTCTCACATAGCATAGTTATGGAATCCACCTTAAATATATTTTCAAACAAAGGAGAAATACCTATAAATAAACATATTAAAAATTTGTTTTCCCAAGAGACACAAACATGTTTCCAGTGGAGTGTAGTTCAGTATTCTCCACTCTACCATGCTTCATTCCGGAGATATTTTCAAATGAAAATGAATTAGTCTTTCATTTTGGAGGGACGGAGGGAGGAAGAGAATGAGAAATGATGGACTAGAAACATGGTGATTTTGAAAGCTAAGAATTGAAATAAATATGAAACCACATTTAGTATGTGAAAATATTATATTCAAGTGTGAAAATTCACTACACGATAAATTCCATGAGAGCAAGGACCTTGTTTTCATTGTCTGCTGCATGTAAAATAGAACCTGACACACAGGAGACACTGTGTGTGTCTTTTGCAAGTGTGACTATAACAGAGAACTGAGTTAATATTAAATACATGATGTTGAATATTAAGTGTATAACCACAAATATATACCTTTTGGATTCAAGTTTTATAATTTATAAAATGAAGCCATTACACTGTTTCCACTAAGGTTTTTCCAACTGTGATATTCAGTGCTCTCCATGTCACCCTTGTTAAATATAATGGTATAGTCAATCATGTGAATATAAATACTTAACAACAATTTGTAAATTTTGTTTTTGCTATAGAACATCCTATTTAGGTTATGAAGCTACATCATCTTCAACAACCCTGGTAGATCCGCGTACATTGACTCCAAACTCCACCCCTCAAAGTGAGTATAACAAGGCTTCCCTTCGGTGACTCAATAAAGATAGCACACCGGCAAGTTTTACTACAGGTGCCATAATATTGAGGTTTGGGCAAAAACCTATATGTTTTTCATTGATGTTGGTATTTCAGTTTTGAGTAACTCTGTGGCAAATTGTAATCTAAATCACGACTGTATACAGCTATGGCAATCACTGTAATTTTTTAAAATACGGCTTAGTGATTTGTTATTATACTGTACTTTTCATTTCTCACGGGATTTTAAGGTAATATTAAAGTAATTTTGACTCTACTCCCAGTGATCTGAGTTGGTGACAAGAGGAGAAAAAGAAAAACAGGGACAAGATGGTATTAAACATAAACTACAGAGCTTTTGCTTAATATGCCAGCTGTGTTCCTGTGTAGGGAAGCCTATTTTCAATTTTAGTTTTCCCCAAAGTCAGATAGATTAAAAATTCAGCACATCAAAGTGAAGCTGTATTATAGCTTTATAAAAAGGTTGGATTCTGAAAATTTTGTCTTTCAGCCAGAAATTCCAATGTGACTACCCGAGGCCTCGGCTACTGTACCCCCAGCAGGAGAGATACCAAAGCCATTAAGTATAACTGAGAATCCCTTTAATTAAGTATAACTGAGGATCTTCTGGGCCTCATTCATTCATCCAACACATATACTGAATAATATGCTTTGTTCATAATCATATTAACCAATTTTTACAAAGCATCTAACCACGTGTAGAATAAAACATCGTTACAGTTGCTAGGAATACATCTGTGAGCAACACAGATTGAAGTTCCAAATTCTGGTGAAAGAGAGCAAATGGTGATAAGAGACATGGAATGAATAAAGCAGTGAAAGATCACAATGAGAACCGAGGGGGCAGATGGGTTGCCGTGCTAATAGGGTGGTCTTAGAAGGCTTTACTGGGGAAGGTAACATCTAAGCTAACATACAACTAATGGAGATCAAAGAACAAATTACCAGAGTATCTGGGGAAAGTGTGAACTGGCCAGAATATGCATACCACTACCAAGAATGAAAACAGGGATTTTTCCTGTTTCCTACAGAGCAAAAGTTCTTTAGTTTATGTTTTATTCCATCTTGTCCCTGTTTTTCTTTTTCTCCTCTTGTCACCAACTCAGATCACTGGGAGTATAGTCAAGATTACTTTAATGTTACTAGTGTGAAGCATGGGAATGGTTTGCTATTTTAATCTGGCCAGCTAGCAACAATGACTGCTCCTGAGGCTTTCACCAGTATTGATAGGATCTGAAGAGAAAATATACTGCCTCTTAGTGGTGTAAGACAAAGATCAGCCATGGTGGGGAAGTGGCACAGATTGTGGCTGAAGCAAAGCGAAGACCCTGGATGCCACAGAACTCTGAATGTCACTACTAGGCCCTTTGCCACAAAACATAAATACATGTATATGTCCCTTTCTGAAAGCATTTACATTGTACATTTAAAACTTCTAAATGTCTTATCCTTCCTTGCTCAGTCATCTCACTGCTAAAAACTTATCCTTAGGAAATAAATCAAAGAATGAAAAGGAAATGTGTGATAGTGTTCTTTGCAGCATTATTTATTTATTCTCTCTCTCTCTCACGGACCTCAGACTCCCAGATTTGGATCAATCACGATCTTCAATTCATGACACACGTTCATTAGTCTGGGTATGACCCTTTGTCATTTAATGTAACATTTCTCTTAACAAATATGTTGATAACATAATAAACACCGGCAAATGCAGTGCCCAAATGCAAGAACTAAGAAGATAGTATGGGAAGAGAGGGCACGCAGTGAAATCCGCAGTTAATGTAAGGTGGATATACCTGTAAGGTGACTTGGCAGATTCCTGTGGACAGAACAGACTGTTCAGCAAATGGACCTAAAAACAGTGATTATTTATGAGTGAAAAAGTGTTAAAATCTAACCCTGCCATGCACATTACACTAAAATAAACTCCATATACTATAAGATTTCTATGTCAAAACCAAAACATTAAAACACATAATAAAAAAAGTTGAATTTGTTCCTGGCTTCAGGGAAGAGAAGGGCTGAAATAAGAGATATGAGGCACCATAAAAATAACTGAGAATTAGAATACAACAAAATTAAGAAAATTCTTTCCATCAAAAGATGCCTTAAAGAAAATTAAAAAGAGAGAGGAGCCAAGATGGCAGGGTGAGTAGAGCAGTGGAACTCCCCTCAAAACCATATATATTTTTGAAAATACAACAAATACAACTATCCCTAAAAGAGAGACCAGAAGATACAGGACAACAGCCAGGCTACATCTACACCTGCGAGAACCCAGCACCTCACGAAGGGGCAACCATGCACCGAGTTTCCTTCACAGCAGCTGGGCAAGAATCAGAGACCCCATCTGTGTGCAGCTGCCCAGCACAAACCACTAGAGGTTGCTGTTCTTCCAGGAGAGGAAGGCCACAAACTAGCAAGAAGGAATGTTCTCCCAGGTGACACACACGCCACCTCCCCACAACTACTTCTATCACAATGAAAAGGCAGAAGAATTTGATCCAGACCAAAATCACAGAGATAACCCCTGAGAAGGAGCTTGGAGAGATAGACCTAACCAATCTCACTGAAAAGGAATTCAAAATAAAGGTCATAACCATGCTGATGGAGCTGCAGAGAAAAATGCAAGAGCTAATGGACAAAGTAGGAAGGGAAACTATAGAAATAAAACAATCTCTGAAAGGACTTAAAAGCAGAATGGATGAAATGCAAGAGGCCATTGATGGAACCAGAGAACAGGATCGCATAGAAGCTGATGCAGAGAAAGATAAAAGGATCTCCAGGAATGAAACAATATTGAGAGAACTATGTGACCAATCCAAAAGGAGCAGTATCTGCATTATAGGGGTACCAGAAGAAGAAGAGAGAGAAAAAGGGATAGAAAGTATATTTGAAGAAATATTTGCTGAAAACTTCCCCAAACTGGGGGAGGAAATAGTTGCTCAGACCACAGAAGTACACAGAACTCCCAACAGAACAGACCCAAAGAGGACAACACCAAGACACATAATAATTGAAATGGCAAAGATCAAGGACAAGGACAGAGTTTTAAAGGCAGCTAGAGAGAGGACAAAGGTCACCTACAAAGGAAAACCCATCAGGCTATCATCAGACTTCTCAACAGAAACCTTACAGGCCAGAAGAGAATGGCATGATATATTTAATACAATGAAACAGAAGGGCCTT